AGCTGCTGGGATTCCTCAGGCAGGTCTTATTACAATGGTGATGGTGTTAGATACTGTTGGTTTGCCCGCCAAAGATGTTACTCTTATTATTGCCGTCGATTGGCTTTTGTGAGTGAATAACTTTTATAATTTAAATACAAATCGTATTTTTTAATTATCAATCAATTTCTTAAACGGCTAAATTCTTTCTGTTACTTATAGGGATCGTTTCCGGACAACCATCAACGTAATGTGCGACGCGCTCGGCGCGGTCATAATTGAACATATGAGTAAAGGAGAGCTGGACGCTGTTGTAATAAATCATCAAGAAGACAACGTTGAACTTGCGCAACTTAGAAAAACTGAATCATAAGTGCCTTAAATTTAATTAAAATCAATTTGAACCAAAAATATATAGTTCACCATGTATGAGTCCAATACTCGTCTATGTGGATGTATTTATTACAAGTATGCCTGTATGGTGATTGGAAAAACCGTATGAGGCTCCATCGCGTGATTTTACTAAAAAGAAAAATCAAATGGCAACGGTGAACATCGAATATCCCTGTGCTAATAAAAAATTAACTGTTTTTATTTCTATGCTTATTTTCATATTTGCTTTGCATGATATATGTATATATATATATACATTCATGAAACATACTTCTATTAATTTATACGCGTTCTGAGCTAAATCGACTAAATCTGAATTCGGTGTTAAATATTCTCTCCGTAATTTTCGAGCTCTTTAGATTTCGTCTTCCATTAATAGGAAACTGAATTACTCCTCTTATTGCCGTTAACCTGGCGGGATGCGCGTTGTGGATGCGCATTGTGCATTGCGCCTCTCGTCTTAAGTTTTGTATTCAGTCGTACAGTAGAAGCATTTCATAACCTCGAAATTCTGAAAAACTGAGACTGCTGACAGCTCCAAATTGCAATAGTCATGGAGATAATACTCTAGTAGTCTTGACAGACTTTTTTGGCTTAGAATAAATGTGGATGAACTGATGAACGCAATTATCAAGTACACCAGATTCCTAAAAAACTGGTAACGATAGCGTGACGTTAAAATTTGATGCAATATGCCCTACCGGGAACAACGTGCTCGTTAAAGAAGACTTATTTGCTCTGCTGCGAATATGCCAGTGTTACTATACCTCTATTGTACGCGAAACATAAGAGTCTATCAAATTATCGGGTGTTTGTATGGTTATTAATAAAATATTGTTTTATTAATATAAATAATTTAAGGATGAAATTGATCATTAAAGGAAAAAGAAAACAGCATTGGGAATAATCGAAAATGCTTAGAACTCTTGTTCATAATGACAAGTTGCCTAAGTAACTGACATCGACATCTCTCTTTATAGAGTACCAATGTTGATTAATTCGATAATGTTTTCATAGAATATTTATCTTGCCTTTGTAAAAAATTATATTCTTATACAATTGCTGAATAAAATATATAATTATGTACCTGTGTGACGTCAAAGGTTTTTATGATAATTAATGAGTAGATCGAATTATACAGAGTGGGTGGAAACAGAGCGAAGATAGATTTTTGATACATATGTATGTATAAGGGCAGGGGAGGAAGCCCCTGACCCGAGTTAAGGACGTGGTGCCCGGCTGTCGCCCGATGCCCTGGGGAAGCGGCCGTGGAGGATCTCCAAGAGTCACGTACGGATTCGTTAAGGAACGCTCTGGATTTGGTTTAAAGGGACAACTCGAGGGAAAGGATAAGAGTTATCGGCTATAAGGGTCTCGACCAATGAGAATGGTTGGTTCTCGAATTTGACTATTGTCAATTGACTGCTTTAAAGCAGTCTGTCTTGGGACACCGATCGGGCTGCCTCGAGCTGCCTCGCGCTCCCGGGCTGTTTGTTGATAGTTTTTCTAGCTGAGTTTCCTATCTGGTATAAAAAGTTCTCGCCTGCGTAGTTCTCGCAATATCCAGAAAATCCTATAGATTTTCAGCGTGTGTGTTCGGAGGTGCAGTCCTGTGCTATAATGCAGAGCCCACCCGAGTGTCCCTGGATCCAATTCTCGGCCTTGAGGGATCAGCTGGACCAGCTCCGGTGAGGACTCCCAGTTTATTAATTTGTGGAGGGATTTCTATTTTATACCTCCGATTCGATCTGCTACGTTCTCGATCGATTGCTCTCTGTTTTCGGTACTATTTGCCTTACTCTTACTTCGACCCTCCCTACGTCGACCTACCAACCTGAGCGGCCGTGCATTTCCGTGACCGTTCGCTCCCGTTCGCATCCCCAAAAATCGACAGGATCCGTTAAGCTATCGTTTCTTCTGATAGGTTCCGTCAGAGCTCTCGTTTTGCCGGAGTTCAGACTGTTCCATCTGAACTCCCGTGTCATACCGGCCAATTCGTGACGCGCGGGTGATGCGCGCGCATCAAGTTCCTCGCTGGACGCGGAACAATCACGCACTTATGCATGTCTACGGGACTGAGCCCTTAGTACGTAAGCGGACGCCGTAAACGTACGACGTTCGCTCAGGCATCGATAATGTATCGCTGTACATATGCGATAGTTAATTTACTAAAAAATATTTCTCGAACAAAATTATACGGCACCCAATTCAAGTGAGTTCAAAATCGATTTCAGCGACCTCCAAAACCCTTAGGATACAGGAGATCCGAAGACCTCGCGAACGTACGAGAAATCTAGCCAGAAGGGCGTCAGAAGACGAAGGGATGGTCGAACTTTATTGAAAGAATTAAGCTTCTTAATTAACACGTTAAAAGAGCTTTCTAATGATTGGGAAGGCAAATTGAAGCAAGATAGTGCCGCTTTAATGAGAAATTGCTTGCACTGGCATAAGGGTGGTTCACTCCTTAAACGTTTTTCCGAAAGACACAAAAACATGTATATATCCTACTTTTTTAAGTACTTTAAAATGCGATTGATTTCATCAAAATCAAATCAATAGTTTGTTTGTTAGGTTAGGTCCATAAGTCCGGGTCCATTTCCCCATACGGAACATCGATTTATGAACGTTTTCCTGAAAAGACGACTTTTCGAAAACTCCATTTGAGTGTCGTAAATTTTGAATACCAAACTGTCGTTAACCCATCACAGTGCTGTTCTACTCTATCCTATAGTCAGTCTACGAATTCAATGTTTTTCTTTATTTCGTTTTAATAATTTGTGTTAAAAGGATATAAGAACACGTGTCCCTTATTCACATAACCGAAGTCCTTGGAGTACTGCAGTAACAGTAAGAACGTTAAGTTATATGAAATCAGTTCCTTGAGAATATTTTGTCACTAAATAATCTTCTTTTGTTTTTCAATATAATTATTCGCTATAAATGACGTCTGCTCTTTTAAAATCACGATTTGTCTTTAACAATCCGTATTATCACTACTGACTCAGACGTAAAAAACATCTTACGCAATATAAGGTCGTTCATGTAATCCCGGAAAACTGGGAATTTTATTAGTGTAATTATTAACGTAATATAATTTTTTTTAAATATTCTTTTATTTAGCATATCGGGTAATATATAAAGAATGAAACGATACTTTTGTCATTTAGCGGATACTACGGATATTGAATAAAGATATAAAGATCATAATTACTTTTGCGAAGGTCGATACGTTTCCCATTGGATAACGTAATCAACCAAATGGTGATTCAGAGAAAAGACGTTCGCCGAAAGTCCCAGGCGCAGAAATGACGATTGGGTATTTACATTTATTCGGTTCGATAACGATGCAGCATCGAATAAAACTTTTGTTTTATTTCATCTCAAATAAGACTTGTATCCAATTGCGATGAGTCCAAAGGGATCGTGCCCGATAATTTATGTGCAAGAAAAAATAGATTTTCAGTATGTTAGTTTTCAATTTTTTTATATAAATTTTAGTATACATATATGTTTTTACTTGTGCTCTGAATTCTTTTATTACTATAAAACGTATCTGTATACCACCCTGTGATGGTAAAGCAAAAATAAGAAGAGGACCAAGAGGAAGTTAAGGATTTCAGCTACTACGGATAACATCAGTAACCCCAACCGAACGCGACGATGAAAAAAAAACTTAGTCGGTTTTGCCTAACCTAACCCCTCGATTTGCCGCAATCGACGGGCCGTCACCCAGAATCAGACGTACCTACCTTCATTTTCGCCTCTCGTGTGCCAGACCCTGACGATGCCCTCTTTCTGACAGTATCAGATGTCCAGCGGTTCCGGAACTATTCAGCCTCTTGGCTGTAACGCTTGCAACCCCAAGCGAGAGATGTCGCCTGGAGCTCGAAGCGAATACCAAAGCTACCCGTTGGAAGCCGCGACCGTCGAGAAGTTCAAAGGAGCGTATATTCGGGTAACACATTGAGCTGTTCGGCTGGACATGACACGATTCGGTGACAACGCAACCTAACCTATGTTAACCTGACTAGAAGAAGAGAAAGACAACCCTGACAAATTTTCTAACCTTTAAATTAGCCTGGTAGCTTATAATCGTTAGTACCCACGCATGCGCGATATCGCGAGTGAATCGGTGCACAGTTCATGCGCAACAGTCAAGTCGTCTGACATATACACGAGCCTTATCCATGCCACCACTGGCCGCCACATGTCCCGAAGGGCTCACGAAGTCTGCTCGCTCGTAACCAGTCCGAGAGCAGCAGTCGCGACCGTAAGAAGCGCGTTTTCCCGTCTCCCCGAGTCACGATTAGTTTATGTAAATAGTGAAACAACAGAGCAAGATTGTTCAACGAAATAAATGAATTAGATTTCCAAATTCGTGCAAACCCTTTCTCCTGCCTTTCGTTCCCTCGACACATCCACGTACTCGCGAGTGCACTGTTTCTTTCTCCTCTTTCTCCTGCTGCCTACACTTGCCGTTTCTCCACTCTCTCTTGTTTTTCATCTCTCGATCAAGATCGCCCGACTTGTTTCATTTATATTTAATCAATGTGGTAAGTACATCAGACTCGAACGACGCGGCGACTGTTACGAAGTATTAGTGTTTTTAAATATGTACGCCGGAGCCACGTTAGGACGCATTTTTATATTATTACATGTAGCAGCTGCATTCGCAGTCTGATTATTGTGCCTTCGGAATATTTGCAAGTTGGTGCTTCCGATGTGCATGTTGAGTCGTTGAACAATGTATCGTTTAATTGGACTGGTTTTCTTTAATATCTTTCTAGCCTTTGCGGCTGACAACAAGGAGGAAGACTCGGTGACAGGATTGTAGGATCACAGTTTTTTCTCCCCGTGAAAAGAAAACAACTGCATCTTGGTAAGAATTCCTTGTAAAAGTTTCTATATCAAATAAAGTATTGACAATAAAATACTGACTTAATCTTTAAACGAATGCAGTCGAAGCATGTATTATGACGACGAAGGAGACATTTGAAATTTATTTTAAACAGATTAATCCCTTTTTAGTCCGTATATACAGACTTAACGGATGTGCTAAGAAAAAATTAAATAAACATAACCTATAATGGTATAGCCTTCAATAGTGCGTATTGTCCATTGATTATAAGCTCGATCGACTTATGTAATAACGGAACAAGACAAAAACGTGGACTCAAGCGTAATGCTCTGCCGCGAGATTTGATTCCTACTTCAGCCGTTAGAGCCAGTTTTAATGAGTATAAAGTCTATGTCGTCTTATATCAACTATCTGTTAATAAAGTGTATACGCACGTACGTAGTATGCATACGTCCGTGATTAATCGTAGAATGGATATCAATTTCAAGATATGAACATGTCAGCAGGTATTCTTATCTGAAAATATTCTTCTCTAACGCGTTGATTGGCGTGTCGATCACTGACGATCGGGACTACCGAACTGAATAAAAATGTCGAAAATTCGCCTGATAACACTGCGCCCCGGGAGCACACGGGTGACCGTTAGTTGGAAACACGTTATATAAATAAGAATTTTGCTTAATCTAATCATATTATGCAATATTTCTTTCGAGATGTGTAGCGGAAATTTCACTCCACCGTAATCGAGCAGACGAGCAAAGCTGGGTCCAAAATTCAACGTATTAAAGATTCAGCTACTCTGTGCGTGCATATACAGTGTACCAAAAAAATTATTTATCCGGAAAATGGGCTATAGCTGGAGTTCGTCCGAGTAATCTTCCGCAAAGGGTTTCCCGAAATTCGCAATGGTTTTTAAATGGGAAGCATTTAAGACGCACCAATCAGAACGAAGGATTTTCGCGGGTCATGGCTGCCTGGTGGGAGGTACAGTCAAGAGAGGCACGCTTTCAGCGCTCATGCTTATGACCAGTTGTGTACCCCGTTCGAGTTGGATTCTATGCGCTTCGCAAGTTCATGTTGTCACCGTCCGACTTGGCCCAACGTGGCGCTGTATGTCATTTCAGCATGCACAAATAACGGTTCCAAATAATTGGTTATATTAGCTTTATACATGTGCTAACATAAAAATGTTACATTCTCCGTGTAACTGTTATTAATAATTCCAATGTTACTGAAACGTAACAAAACACTGTTAACTGTGACCTAGTTTAATTTAATTCCTGCTACATTTAACGTAAATGCAAAAAGAAAAAAGATGTCATCTTGCGGTTCGAAAAGCAGGTACATTAATATGTCGTCGGTTACTTAAAAAGTAACTTAAAAAAAATTTGCTGTTAAGTTGCCGTTTTCTTTGTACACGTATATGTCACTCTAAATCAATAAACCGATTCGGTTATTTAATATTTATATAATATTTTTACGTTACAGTGTTACGTTCTTGAGGCGAAAATTGTAACTTGCATTCAAAATACCGGGTGATACTTTTGCGATATTACTTGTTGCATTTGGTGCCGTGGCTGCCATTTAACATTTGTCTAAATGTTTTATGTTAAACGAATACAATTCATTTGGATAGAAATATGTAAAAGTGTGAACAACGTTGTTACATTGCATGTAAATTCCATGCTATATTGACGTAATGAAACGTGTTTACTTGATAGTAACGTGAGATTTGATAATTTCGGTGATATATACATATATTAAAAAATTTATCAAAGAATGGTCGAAAGGCCGTGTAAAATTAGATAAAATTTTTGATTATTGCCGGTACGATCACTTCGTTGTCACATAAATATTTGTTTCAGGTAAAAATGGCAGGACCAAAAAGAAGGAAAAATTGCATGTCGGAAAATTTGCTGACATTATTGACCGTAATCGGTGTCTTCGTTGGAGTTGTTTTCGGATTAATTTTGAAAAATGTCAAGAGTGATTGGACCGAACGACAAATAATGTACATAAGATACCCGGGTGATATTTTCCTCAGTATGCTGAGTGGCCTTATTTTACCTTTAATCGTAGCCAGCATAGTCAGCGCGATCGGCAATTTGGACCTCGGTTTGTCAGGTGAGCGCAATTCATAATAGGTGATCGAAAAATATATACTTATTAAGTTTTCATTGATAGCTTATCGTGTTCATAATTCGTAATTAATATTGCGATACTTTCGATGAGCTTGTTTTTTTCCCAAGTGTTAAACTGAAGTTCCATTTTTACGGATGATGGGGATTTTTGTGTGCGAATAATATTGGCTAGATTGAATTGATTTTTTAAATAAAAAATCAAACAATTTAGTACTTTAACACGTTGATCGCCTACGTCACTTGTATATGGATGACAGCTATGTTTCCGCAGGTATGGGTCTTGACGACCCACGTTGTACCTGGGCTCTAAGGGAAACGTACTTTACGCTGGGTGATCAACATGTTTATAATAGTGGAATTGTGTTCATCCACGGTCACTTATAACGTTACTTACACAATAGTTATAAATCTCGTTTAACATAGTTTATAATTTTTCATAAAGTGATTAAAATATAAATTTTTTAATTAGGGAAAATCGGATTGCGATCAATTTTTTACTACAGCACGACAACTGTGTCTGCCGTCATTCTCGGGATTATACTTGTCCTAACGATTCGACCTGGATACATATCTGGATCCTCATTCGTTGCCGATAGAGTGAATGCGCCAGAAATGAAAATCACAACAACTGATACAATGTTGGACTTAATTAGGTATTTTATATTTATATTAATAATTAGTTAATCCGGCAACTTTTTTTCATCAATTTGATAACGCAACAAATTATTTCCAGAAACATCTTTCCATCGAACATTGTACAGGCCTGTATTCAGCATGTAAGTATATGTCAAGTATTTATGACGTAATAAGCAAATTCGGCTGATAATATTTTATTGACCAGTTGCATAATATATATGCTAATAAATCCTTTCTTGGAAAGCTACTATATGTCATATTAATGAAAATTTGATTCTATTAATAAGGTTGTATTTACATAATAGTTATCGCTGCCATTATTACCTGATTCATTTTTACAGGTTATAATCGTAAACAATTTTTTTTTAGTACCAAACCGTCTTGAAAGAACCAGGAAACATGACCGACGGTAAGTTGATTGTAAAACAATCTTCATTCAAATTCTAATAATATTTTTTGAAATTGAACAGTTATTCTTATTGCATGTCTTACATAATTACAATTAAAATTACGTTGTAATCAGTAGTCCAGTGGGTAGGGTAGCGGGTTCATGACCGAAAGGTTCGGGGTTCGCGCCCAGCCAGCGGCCCATTCATCAATGAATTTTTTTTCATCAATCAGTCATACGAATTTTGCCCAACATTGTTCGAATTTGGTGTATAAACTCTATAGATTTTCAAACTCAGTTACACATAAGGCCCTCTCGCAAGGTAATTTGATCGGCGCGGGACACAAGACTTATGTTTTCCTAATTGTTCGAAATATTTTGTATTGAATTATTCAACGCATAAGATAACGTATAGAACTTTGGTTGGATTTATCTATTCAAATAAAAAAGCACTAAACTGATTGACATGGAATCTGTGGTACACACGACTGTGCCTACGAGTGAGAACTTTTTTAACCTTAATAAAGCACGCTTGTGTTATTATAGATAGTGACATTTCTAATTGGACAATAACCAGCAAATATGTCGACGGAACGAATACTCTTGGTATTGTGATCTTCGGCATTGTTTTTGGAATTGCGCTTGCGAAAATGGGGGAAGCGGGTGAACCTGTTCTGAACTTCTTCAATTCCTTATCTGAAGCCATGATGATTATAACCTCCTGGGTTATTTGGTACGATATTTGCACAATATTCACATTCAATATTGTATTTAAGTTAAGTCAGAAATATGACTTTTCTGCGTATTTGAAATTAATACAAAAGCTATATTGGTTAATACAAATAATTAAAAAATTGAAATTTGGTATAGATGTTTATTGCAAATATTTTTAACATTACTGCAACGTTGTACGGATATTAAATTGATATTTGGATAGTCACAAGTCTCACCATAGGTGCTCCAGGTTAATACTTACGGAAAAAGAATATTGAGCTCCCAATAGTTACTGTTAAGATTTAATAATAATTATTTATTTTCAAAAATGCTCACTTGAAAAAAACGAAATTATCTACTGGGGAGGTTATCATTTGGATTGGCTACCATCGAAGTGCGATAGTAGTTACCAACTGGTCACTACTGTGACCAACAATGGTTATCACTGAAATTCCGTATTATAGTCAGTACTCAAATAGTTATTATGCAACATAGTTACTATTAAAAATGAATAGCGATTATCATTAGAAAGTAAACATAGTATTTGAGTGTAGTTATCATTTAAAATAATTTGCTGCAGCTACTATTCTTTTCTAATAATAATATCTCTGATACTTGTAATTTTTTTTTGAAATTATTATATATTATAACTTATAATTTATAGAAAATTAATAATTTTGAACGAGCTCAAATAAGCTCATGTACCGAAGAGATGTACTGCTAGGACCCACAGAGATAACAAGATTTTTTAAGTAAAACGGTATTTTATAATTCAACAATAATATAAAGAAAAGATAATACATAAATTGTCTGTATTGTTTTTTTAGGATTTCGCCGATTGGTGTGATGTGTCTGGTTACCTCAAAATTATTAGAAATCCAAAATTTTGGAGCCATCGTCGGTCAACTTGGATTCTATTTCTTAACAGTTGTCTTAGGTCTGATACTACATGGGTTTGGTACGCTCACCATTATCTTCTTTGTCTGCACTAGAAAGCTGCCATTCAAAGTTATCAGCCAACTAGGACAGGTCATGGTCACTGCTTTCGGAACTTCTTCAAGGTCAGGATGTATAGTAACCTAATACAATGTCCCGGGGAAAAAAAAAGTTTATATATAATCAGATCCAAAATTATTTTTATTTCATAAAAATAATATTTTCAAAATACAGCTTTCTCCATTAATGACTTCCTTATAACGATTTCCTAGAATATTATATTTATAGAATTTACATTTTAATAATGTAATTCTGTGAAATGTCAAATTTAATTAGACAAATTTTGGATCTGATAATATACAATTTTATATGATTATACATAGTTTTATATTTCTATATATAATTTTTTCTCGGGCAGACACACGGTCGATGGCCATGCACTGGTCAACGTACGCTGATTGTATTTAAATCTGGTTTTCCAAATCGAACTGAATTTTATCCAGTCGAGCAGTCAGATCAGTGTTTTTAAAGGGGTCTTCTCCTTATACCTTATAACGTCATAAAGTCCCTTAAATGTCAGCGCCCGATTATAGAACGTAGGGAATTAGCTATGGCTCGTTATTTCCTTGTAGAAAATATAAAATGTTTTAGTCCGAAATTTTTAGGTATATCAATAATTAAATATTAATATATTCTCTTCTTCATTCACAGTTCCGCCACACTGCCTATCACACTTCAGTGTTTAGACAGTATGGGGATGGATCCTAGAATAACAAGGTTTGTGGTTCCAATTGGTGCAACGATCAACATGGACGGAACGGCGCTTTACGAAGCTGTTGCCGCCATTTTTATTGCACAAGTACGTGGCATTGAACTCTCGTTCATCAATGTCATCGCGATCAGGTAACCATGGAAATTAATTTATGGTAATAACGTTTTCCCATTCCCTGTTACGTAATTATGTACGTCAAAAGTCAGTCGGAATATTTGCTCTTAGCCTCCATACTATTGAATGTTCAGATACGAAATTACTCGACTTTTGGAAGTATCCCTCGTGTAATTGCTATAGGAATAAATGATTGGCTTTGTGCATAAATCGATCCCGATTGAACTTACAGGCAACTTATCTTTTTGTTTAATATTTGTTATAACTCTATACGCTTATTGGTCACATTAATATCTTCATGTTAATTGATTTTAAAATTTTAAAATTTGGTTCCAACAATAATTCGTATTTTTATCAGTTACAATCCGTAAGCGGGATTGTATTTACGAGTCGAGTCAACGAATCAGCTGGCAGAGCGTCAGAAACTTCAGTTTGAAAATCTCGGCCGTCACTGAGCCAATTTATATATTATTTGTACGATCTTTAAATATTATTATAATTTTTCAGCATAACGGCAACGGCTGCTAGTGTAGGAGCTGCTGGGATTCCTCAGGCAGGTCTTATTACAATGGTGATGGTGTTAAATACTGTTGGTTTACCCGCCGAAGATGTTACTCTTATTATTGCCGTCGATTGGCTTCTGTGAGTGAATAACTTTTATAATTTAAATACAAACCGTATTCTTGAATTATCAATCAATTTCTTAAACGGCTAACTTAAAATTCTCTCTTTTACTCATAGGGATCGTTTCCGGACAACCATCAACGTAATGTGTGACGCGCTCGGCGCGGTCATAATTGAACATATGAGTAAAGGAGAGCTGGACGCTGTTACAATAAATCGTGAAGAAGACAACGTTGAACTTGCGCAACTTAGAAAAACTGAATCATAAGTGCCTTAAATTTAATTAAATACAATTTAAATCAAAAATATATAGTTCACCATATATGAATCCAATACTCATCTATGTGGATGTAATTTATTACAAGTATGCCTGTACGGTGATTGGAAAAACCGTATAGGGCTCCATCCGATGGAGTCAATCGCATGATTTTACTAAAAAGAAAAATCAGATGGCAACGAACATCAAATCAAATAAAAAATGTACCATTTTGATTTTTACGCTTGTTTTCATATTTACATGATATATATATTGTGACGTGATTTTTCGATTCACGGTCAGAAGGCGAATCCGGCTACCAATACAGATAACGTTCTCGATTTCTGGTTCCCTTCGGGTCGCCACCCTGCTCAGAAGCTACGCTCTCGGGTTGATTCGTACAGTTAGGTCAAGGCTCTCGTAAGATTTCGTTATTGTTTAGTTGAGGTCGAGGTGCTCGAATCTGCCGTGGGGAGATAGTCTCGACGTACCGAGTTGCCCGGCAGAGGAGACGACCCGACGGAGACGTCTCCACGGACCGGCAGGAGCCCGGGTGAGATACCGGCGCCCCGTTGGAGATGGACAATGGGCTATACAGCGGGCGGAGATAGAATTTTGATACGGTTAAGGGCAGTCAAGGAACCCAGTGACCCGAGTTAAGGATGTGGTGTCCAGTTGTCGCCCGATGCTCTGGGGAAGCGGCCGTGGAGGATCTCCAGGAGATACGTACCGATTCGCTAAGGAACGCTCTCGATTTGGTTTAAAGGGACGACTCGAGGGAGGTGGAAGAGTTATCGGCTATAAGGATCTCGACCAATCAGATGATCAGAATGACTAGTTCTCGAATTTGGCTATTGTTGATGCAGTCTGTCTCGGGGCACCGACCGAGATGTCACGAGCTGCTTCGCGCTCCCGTGCTGTCTGTTGATAGTTTTTCTAGCTATGTTTCGATACGGTATAGCAATTTCTCGCTCGTGTTGTTCTCGCGTTGCTCTCGCGATATCCAGGAAATTCTATGGATTTCCTGTGAGTGTTCCGGAAGTGCGGTGCCGTGCCCCAGTGCAGTGCCCACCCTAGTGTCTTCTGGATGCAGTTCTCGGCCTTCGCGGATCAGCTGCACCAGCTCCGGTGAGTACTCCCAATTTATTAATTGGTGAAGGGATTTCGATTTGATAGGTCCGATTCGTTCTTTTACGTTCTCGATTCGTCGCTCTCTGTCTCTCGCACTATTTGCCGGACTCTTACTCCGACCCTCTCTACCTCGACCTAGCAGCCTGAGCGGCCATGCATTTCCGTAACCGTCCGCTCCCGTTCGTGCATTCAGTTGCGTTTCTCGATTTTACGCGTCCCCAAAAATCGACAGGATCCGGTAAGTTATCGCGTTATCTGATAGATTCCGTCAGAGCTCTCGTTTTAGTGGAGTTGGGCCTGTTCCACCCCAACTCCCAGTTCATAGCAGTAGTAGCTCTTTGTATCGCTTTAAGTTATAATTTTGTGAATCTACCTTGTCACTTTTTTCAATTTCTTAAACATAAACATTATATAACGTAATTTCTCTATTGTGCTCACTACCGAGTGCCTTCATTATTTTTCTTTATTCTATGAGACATGCTTATTCATCTATTTACGCACAAAAGTATTGACTGTCATCAATAGTCGAATTATTTACGAGCATATAACTTTGTCATCTGATTCGCTTGTTACGGTTTTCAAAAGCGTGAAATAAGAAACGGCTGTCGTCAATATCTGAAAAATATATATTTTTTCTTTAACCTATAAAAGATAGATTTCAGAAGAGAGAAAATAATGGGCCTACCGTCGTGATTTGAACTAGACCAACTGGAAAAAAGTGGTAAGCTGTACACTGGAATGGTTTTTGCGATCGTAATATTAAAAAATATATTATGGATTTGTATTTCTTGCTACGATCTGTCCATTCGCTATTATAAGCTGCATGATATAGAAGTTCCGTCTGTAAAAATATTATATGCTTAACGGTGTCAGGTAATTTTTATTTCACTTTTCAAGATGCACCGAATTTACCTGATCACTTAGAACATTCGAGAATCCACAGTAAATCAGAATTTCCACGAAAAGCGACATCATATGCGTTACGTATTTAATAATTTCCAAATAAACCCCGCATGACAGTGTCTAAAAATAATAATAGAAAGATAAGACGGAAACAAGGGAGACATTCTGTATAATCTGTTCGCGAGTAAAACTTATGCGAATACCAGAATGCAAAAATGGTCTTTAAAATTTTCGCGTTCGTAATTTTTTTATGCCCTCGCACAAAAGGAAATTCTATCGGAAGTGTTAAATTACGCAAATGAAGTAAGTATGCAGTTGTGGTACGTTTTTTCGATTAAATCGATGCAAACCAATTCCAAAAGAAATTTCAAATCTTGGTATAAAAAATTCTTTACCGATCATTGTTAGTCAAACCCTCAATCACGCAGCACACTGTGGGTCTTTGAGAGCCTATGCACTTTTCACGGTCTACCATTTAAAAACTACTAATTCGATCAAATTGAAAAAACTTTCCGATGTTCTTTGAACACTGTAGAATCAATCCCACGAAAAAGTACGTGCGCCACCAAGCGCGTATTAACACAAGCTACCTCGCCCTAACTTACGGGCTAAGAATTTCATAGTTTTCGATCTGTCAAAAAAAAATCGTATTCAACTAGTGGAACAATATGTATATATGTAACTTACTTTTTCAAATTGGAATATACAGGCACACATGATAGTGGAAGTCATGATTATAGTGAGAAATATTATTGGACTGAATATATTTTCCAGAATGTCGCAAGATCTACAATAAGAGGTTATGACGTTGTCCTTGTATAAATTTTCAAGCAGTAATCACAATAATTAATATTTCACTCAACTGAAAGAGTATGATTTGTTTTTTAACGATTTCACGTAATTCATCTACTTCCGTAGTCCTCTCCAGGTCACGTCGTAAAATTTGAAATTGTATAGCAAGATGCGTAGCGCACATGGGAAAGAGAGTGTCGCAGGCAATCCAATGGAGTGTCATTAGGAGACAGACGGCTTGTTCGAATAAAATCCAGACTACGTATTTCGGAAAGTATGACAGATCAAAAGGATAGACGGTTGGAAAAGTAGTAGCAGTAAAGTTGTACGAATTGTTTGCTGTCTTGGTAAATAAAAACTGTGTAATAACGCTCCTGTTGAATGGAATTAGTCTTGAGAATATTTTATACGTAGATCACGTCCCAGAAAACTGTTTACTTACACGTAGGGATTCATGCAGTAGCTGCTGCACATTATCACTACTGTGGCCGCATAGCATTTGCTCAGGTAAGACGCTCGATTAGCCATTTGCACCATAACGTCCACGTTTTCTGGTCGCTCTATAGACTTTTCCCAAAAGCCAGACAAACGCAGAAGAAGCTCACGGACTTCTCGATGGGACGTGAGTATCGTTAAGCCCTACGAACATAGGAGAAATGCGAATTACATCGAAGGTCAGAATACTTTTACCCGCACAGACCTTTGACATGCTTAAAGTAGCCGTGAGAGTGCCTGATAAAACAGCAATTACAAATCCCGTATCCGATCCTAGTGATACTGCAACGCTGCGAAACTCCAAAATGATAATGAAAAATCCGCAAGTGGAAATTGTCAGAACCAGCAGCACTTCCCATATAGTGGGCTCCTTGTTGATTTTATTTGATATCCCTTTCATCGAATAAAATCCTGATTTTCGTAACAGGTTTATATGAAAATCTGCATACTTGAGGAAAGAAGTATCCGGGTCCTTTTCGCGAGTATTTGACATCGTGTGATGCATTCTATTGAAGAGTAGAAAATGCACTGTACGTTTGCAGTAAGCTTGCATCGAAGTTCCATCCTCTGCTTTCATAATTGATTAGCCTGCACAGCCGATTCAGGACATTTCCCAGAGGTAATAGTAGAAATGTGGTGGGTTTTCAACTCGCAGAGAAGTTCACGCCCACGAGGAAAATGCTCAGCAACTTTTTATTTGCAGTTACTCCGTGAAATACTAATGCATCAAAGACTATTCTACTGGGAGCATGTATTACGTATGTGCAGAGTGATGTCTATCTTGGAATAATTTTTCTTCAAGTAGAATAACAATTTCAATGAAAAACAATCAGCAATTATTTTTTCAATGCTAGAATTCCGGAAGATTACAGAAATAACTATAGTTATTGCATTTATTGTATATCCGTGCAGTGGATTAACCCTTTCGCTACGGACGCCGACTATAGTCGGCGGCCGCGAGGCCACCTACCCTGACTTCGTTGGTAGCACAGAATCTACTACTTTGTTAATATGTAAATTTTTGAATACCCACAATATATTCATGTTTATGTTTTTCTATATAATATGACGAAACAGTTACATAACTCTTAAAAAAGTATACATACAAGACAATTCCAAAGTGCCATTGAAAGACGTAAGCGCAGTGCCCCGTTCAGTGGCGCTACTCCCGCGGAACAGACTGCCGTAGCGAAAGGGTTAAGGAGAGTGAAATTTTTAAAAAATCGAAAAAATATTTATAAGAATAACGATATTGAAATACAAGTTTACTATAACTTCTACCCCCCCCCCCCAAAAAAAAAAAAACACGTGTGAAAAGCTATGCTAAGTATAGCAGTGTTTTGAGTTTTTCTAACAAAAGATATTGAAATGATGATAGGTATGCCCGTGTAATCTGTACCGCGGTTTTGATATGTAGAATGTACTATATGTATGCATAAAGGTAAATCCTACTTGGGTGGCTACCGGTGATTTCACATAATGGTCAGAAAACCTAAATGTACCACACCATTGAAATGAAATTCCCTGAGTGATAATTCTCATGATATGCCGATGTATCGCAAATATAGTACCTTGTTATATTGTTGCATATATCAATTGAGCAGTCGGTAGCCGAATTTATTGTACCAATAATTTATGAAGAACTAAAAATACTGAAAACTTGACAATGAGAATATCACGGTATTTATACTATGTGTAGTGCATACCTTGAGAAAAATGGGGAAGCTCTGATGTGCTATACGAGTAGAATGTAGGTGAAAGTTGTACTTGAAAGTTAACTTTTGATTATTGGTTGGATGATCCGCGGGAAGAAGGAAAACGTTGAAGATAATACAGGAAAGGCACTTCAAAGTTGGAATAAGAATGAAGGTAGGAAAGAATTCTGTGAAATAGGCCCCTCCCCGTTCATTTCCGTGAGGTCCTATCTCTCCACGAAGAAGCTACGACTCTTCCGAGGTCCACCAGAGGACTGTGTTTTGGAGATTGGGAGAAAAAACCGGAATCCTGAGACTTCCGCATCCAAGGCTCAAGGGAAAAACCTCAGGAACAAAAGGAAGCTGGGCCCATCCCCACTTCACGGGTTCTGCGCTGCAAATCTACGCTCCGACAAATTTTACAATTGCCAGCACTTCTAACTGTTACCCACTGTGGTTCCTTCTTTCTAAGTATTAATGTATATACTTTTTAATAAAATTCAAAGTATTAAACATTTCGAAGGATTTTCTATAGAACTAATAAATAGCTAGGCTTCGTACGGATTAGTGTCAAATTAACTCAAATTAATAGAAATGCCACTTTAATACATTGGAATGGTCAGTGAATATCTCTATTATGTTTTTAAAATTAGATATGCATAAAATAATCTTATATATTCCATTTAATTATACAAATTATAAAATTTAAAAGAATTTAACACCTTGATTGTCATCAAACATTATCAACTCTGCTCGGTTAGAACTCTCTAAGGTTCTAAGTGCTCTAACAAGAACTTCTGGATCAAGCCCATGGAATTCTAAAAACAACATGAATATGAATAGTAATATAATTAATAAATGTACATGTTAAGGCAAAGAATTAATAAGTTTACTTTGTTTACCTTGATCAGTTGTATTTTCTCCATCTGTTAATTCAAATGTAGTGCAAACTGATCCTATAAAGCCATTGTCTCGAACCCAATTATATATTATTTCACCCCATTCCTGTAGCGTATGCCAATAGACGAGCCACCTCTGTCGAGATTTATCTAAAGCACAAGCATATCCTGAATTTTCCAATTCTTCCATAATCACAAGAACCATGTCAGATGACAATTTTCCTAATTGCCACATGTAAAGGAAAATGATTTACCTCAAAATAAAGCATCAAGTACTTAAGAATGAAAACTGAAGATGGTTCTCTTAGGATTATTCAAGTCAAAGTACCACCAATTGTCATTTTTATTCCAATGTAATATAATTTTTGTTTGACTGATTAAAATCCATGATATGTTTAGTAAGTAATATGTGGTTTGAGATAAAATTTATATGACCAGTAGAGTATGCTAGCGCTGCTGAGCTTTTATACCCACTGCATGAAAACTTGTAGAAGTTTAGCAATTGGCAGAAATGGTAATTTTCTAAGACTGCTTTCTACAATAATTAAAAAAGAAAGAGGAGTTTTCTAAAAGTGAGTCAGAACTGAGTTGCCAATTCAGTAAATAAAGGTAGACACAGATATACTCATTTAACAGCAGTGGTTTAGCTGAAAACTATATTTAATCATGCAGTATTCCATCCACGAAAAATCCACTATATCATTCTGTGCTCTTTTAAGTCATATCAAAAGAAACCTTTAACATAAGTTAGATTATATAAAACAAGAGATTTTTTTCTCATTGTCAGTGCAACAATTTTGAACACCCTTGTCACTATAGAAATGTTACACCAGCAGCAAGAATGTTAAGTATAGTCAGGTTGCGACATTAGACTGATTTGGACAGATAAAGCATAGCTAATTTTAAAGATTCTACGATATGCTGTTTAGTAACAAATACAAATATATTATTATCATTAAAAATATTACATTGATCTCAAAGTAAATACATTATAATTAAGCATATAAATGTTAAATACTATACATTTGCTCTCTCTTATTGGTTAACCTCAAGATGTAATATCATGGACTACTATTACTAGCTAATTCTAACAAAAAGTTGATAAAGAAAAAAGTTAATAGTTGATATAAAGGATACTGTTGATTGATACATTGTTGAAAAGTGGACTCGAATGCACCTCCCTAATATCCACAATAGCTTGATTCGTAATACGGTAATACTCCAAAGTTAAACTCTTCCATGCAGCCAATTGTTTTGCCTTTGTTTCTGCATGTGGTTGAAGGCTAAAATCAAATTATATGAAAATTACATTTGACAGATGATAAACTTCAGCAGAATGACGGACCCTGTTCTATGAAATGCAGTACACCATTATCTTATTCACACAATTACTAAACATATATAAATAAACCAAGTTTAGAACTTCATAATTAAAATATGAGATATACCAAAATTCATATCCACACATACGTGAAAAATGGAGGAAAACTATATTGCCATGGCCAATTAATTTCTGTCATAGTGATGTAATTTTTTTCGACAATAACCTTTCAAACCAATACTCATTTACCCCTGTCAACCACTATTTACTGCATTCAGAAGTTCACATTTTCCAGCATAAGGTATGTTCTGAAATTTACTGCTACAAGTTCGAATGCGTATTTTTCACTATGGTGAAATTACGAAATGTGGATAGCTGTTAATTAATTACTGTGCTTGTCTTCTTTTCACTTCAACACACGATTGGCTAAGAGCTTTTCTCTTTTTACAATCTTCATAATTCTGAAAGATCTGAAGGGATTGACAAATCAAAGATATTTCTGCTTCAAAGAAATATTTGAAATTAACTTATCTGGCACTTGGCCCTCTATGAAGGTATAATGCCATAAGGAACAAGAAGAAGAGATTAAATTAATTTCTTTAAATCAGTAATAACTAAACCGAAATAAAACTTGTGCGTAAACGTAATCATTGGGCATTGCGTGAGGCAAACCAATTATTCTTCCGTAGAGAATGTAGAGAGGATTAACCAATAATGTGAATCATTTGAGAAGAATAAATGACCATGATTCATTAATCCTATTTAAATCGTGCGCGATGGAAACGTAGGCATTACCCGACTCAAAAATCCAGGAAGAGTAATCTGTCATGTGCAGCGGATTCACGATTTGCCGTGTCCAACAATCCTTAAACGAGCCCCACTATCGTACGCTGACGAGCAACAAGAAGTAAGTTAAGTTATTGGCAATATTTATGAAATTGATCATACAAATTATAATTCTTCAATCATACATTGTGGCAACAATCAAAAAATTAATGAAACGGAAATTAGCCTTTACGCGTTCGAAAACTAGGTGCTCTGATTCTATTCTTCACTAGTGGTCACGTGATGTTCCTTACCTTCTGCAACGAGGTGTATTTCTGAACGCACCCCACAGGTATTTAGATAGCAATTGACGTGCGTGTGGTAGTTCAAAGTTGTGTGACGTGAAGTGAGTGCAGTGCTGTCGTCATGAAAGGGAATTGAGGTTGTAGTTCATTTTATGTTTGGGTAAGAACTACCCGAAAAACGGCTAATGCTGCACCTAATGGTTGTTTAATGAAATTAAAAAAACGAAAGAGCTTGTGCGCGCAGTGCGTGAGTATGCCCGCCAAGGTCTCAAAGAAGGTCGTCGGCATGATCATACGAAGCCGAAAGTCCATCATGAAGGATGGTGTCATCACGGTACAGATAAAAGTTTTTTTTCATTAAAATATTTATAATGTGAACAGATTTTATCCTTTTTTTTCGATAATCAATTAAGACGTATCATTATATGTTGCCAGTCATTGTTTGTTAATCTCATTTGCACCATCACTGATTAAGTTTTAAGCTTTAATCAGAATATGAATCTACCGATCATCAATATGTCTCAGTTTATCTAAAGCAAAAAATGTAATGCGAAGTGTTAAAATTTATCCTTATTTTCTTAACTATGCTTCATTTAGAAAAATTGAATTATATTGCTATAGTGTAACATATTTTGTATGGTAAGCAATACCTAAAAATTTAATAGAGTTTTATTCTTTTGTCTTCAAAATCTTTCATTGCATACTATGTTTAATTATTTTTTTTATTATCATGTATTATAACAGTCAACTGTATATACTAAAGTTAAATTGGAGTTGAATTTAAGTTTTAAGCACAATACTATTTGGATTTTACTTTTATATAATTATTTCTTTTTATCCAATTAGCTTCTTTTTCTACCCTGTTACGTTTTCTATCCTTTGTGTTATTATGTACTTTTAATTTTCTTAAATAAATATTAACTTATTAATAATCTTATATCAAATAATTTTTATACTTTGATTTACACCAATATTTTTCTAATGTATGGAAAGCTTTGACTACTACTTCACATAAAAACTGAATAATCTTTTATTAATTCTTTATCCAAATTTAATACATAATGCTTGTGTTCAATAATGTTACATTTTTTATTTTACATCATAGTGTTACATAATTATACATTTTTATGATTTTAATCAACCTGTTGTAAAAGTGATTATTATAGAATTGATAATGGGCTTCTGTTCATTGTTTTAAATTCTTTTAATTATGAAGTTCATATGATGATAGACATTATTGTTAGAATTATTAATTGGGTAATGTATATTTGTAGTTCACAATCTAGAAGAAAAAGAAATTAATTGTAGCAGCTGGAATGATGTCTGAAATAGCATGTATGTTGGCAGGAATTGTCGTGCTGTTATCTATGATTTTTCACAATGTGTCATTACATATCATTTAATTGCATATAGAATAGCCAAGTATGAAATGTAAGTTTGTTTAGTCCCACATATCTCCTTATACGTTGCAAGGTTTAAAGAACATCATTATGATATACTTCTGTCTTAATTAAATCATATTTGCACTTTAATTCAATGTGTTTTTCTGATAGTTTGCAAAAAAATGCAATCGTTAGCAAATCACAAGAGGCTTTTCAAATATTATAGTAATAGGTATTAAAATAAAAAAATAAAATATATGTCATTGCAAAATCATGCGAATACAAACTTTTTAACCAAAATCTTATGCATTATAACATGAGGCTTACTAAAGAATTTACTATTTTCAATCTGTCAAAAAAGAAACATTAAATTTGTTGACCGATTATACATTTATATTTATTTTCACCTTTATACTTGTTATGTATTTTTGTGATAATAATTATCTTTGCATAGAGGACAAACAACTGACCCATATAATGTATAAAGAAAATGGAAATGCTGAATAGCCAGTCTAATGCATTTTTATTTGGTTTTTACAAGCTTTTGCATGTACACATGTTCCAGAACAATTTACATTTATTTTATCTTGGTAACAAATTGACAATTTTACTTCTTAGACTGACATATTTTAATATAAATGCCTATTGAAGTAAATTTGAACATGAAACATAAAAAATAACAGAAAAAGAAGGAATTTCAATTATACAGTAGCAAATTTTTCATGTGTATCTAATATGGTCGTAAGGCACATTCATCTTTGTCAAATTGATTAGAAGGCCCCATGTAATCTTATTCTTTGGTTGAATTGTGAGAGAGAAATAATGTATAGATGTTTCCTTTTAAGATCACTGAATTTTCTTACATTTCTGTCCGACTTTATATTAACCGAGTAAGGGTAATAATTATAATCTTTAATTGCATAAATGTACTAAAATTTTCCTAAGTTACTATTAAATAATATTTCTATATCTGACCCTGTGAAAAAATGTTAAAATTATTCATTTTAATTCATGTTCGAATGTCATATAAATCTATAGGAATATATAGTATTCTGCGTATCAAGGTACATACAGAATAGTATACTATCATTTGGTGTCTATAAAATATCAAAGATATTAAAAAGCACCTCGCACAACTTGATTATCGTATGCAATATAAGATACGTATAAGATGCATTACTTTTATTAAAGCGTTTAATTATTGTATTTCGTACATTGATTATATTTTACTTCATTACATTCCAAGGTATGCTTATTTTTCGTCTAATGGGAAAATGTATGGTTCGAAAGTATGGCGGGAGAGGGCACAAGATGGCTCGGAAGATCCTGGGGAGGCCAAGAGGGTGGCACTGCAGTGGTTTGTGCTCTTGCGTAAATTTCTCCGATATTTCCTTTGAAGATGAAGAGATGGTTGTCGATACTGTTGCAATTTTCGGGACGGACTTAATGGATAATAAGTGATAAAGTTATTAGTGCAACGTTTACGGCATTGAAAGTTGTACAAGTCATGCAACAAAAGATAAAAGGCGAATCAAATTTTCATATTCACAATGTATTCAGTAGCTGTCAAAAAATACTAACGAATGGCCCAGCATCTTTATTTCAAGGACACTTCTGTTTTCAATCAATTAAAAATAATTCAAAAGTCAACTTTCAAATTCATGGAGACAATTCTTCCAAATCGATTCAAGTTATTTGCGTATGTTCTAATCTGCATCCTGGTTAATATTAATACGAATTTAATTGAATCTTAGCCAAATGCTACTGTTACTTCAAATCTAAGATTATCGTTTAAAATTCCTTAAACGTCAGTTGCTCTTATGTAAATGGGACAATTAGAAAAAAAAGGATATTATGTTAAAATGTAAATTCGGGAACAAACAAAATTTTTATTGAAATATATTTTGACGTCAAATAATCATTGCATTTTCTACTGCCACTAAATAGCTCATACTGAAAAAAAAAAAGTAAATGCAATACTAATCTTTTACAATCGTTGCTGTCATTGAAGAACTGAATTGAGAAGTGACAACCATAATTGGCAACGCTTTAAAATGAGAAATATTGTATAATGGTATATGTGTGAAGATAAATTTATTTTTAAATCCATTTGAGTGTCTATGCATATATACTTTTATATTGGAATTGTAAATAGGAAACATTTTATACCAAGTATCAAAAGGAGATAAAAATTTCAATTAATTTTATGTAAATACTTATTGCTTATTGACATTAATACATTGTAAATTTTACATAGTTTCAATAGACCGTACAGAAATTAGTAGATTATACGTTTATTCTATTTACCAAGTTATGTCAATGTGCATTGCGTGTGTAAGTGTAAATAAAAAATAATGAAATCACTTGGTGCTATAAAAGAAAAAAAAAGAAGAAAGATGTTAATCTATATATAAAAACACAAAAGTCAGACATAATGCCCCCAGGGGCAGACGGAGGGACAGATGGGCTTGGCCCCTCGTGTTCCAATGCACATAATAGTCAGGAAAACGCTTCGCCTAAACTTGTGCCTCCATTGACTTTCATTCAACGGTGTTACATGCACATTAAGGTCAGCCCTGCTGCATGCTTGCATATCATACCTATTTTTTTTTAGCCACCAATACCAGTCACAATATCACAAACTTTTCGGAGTCTATCTAAACATTCAGTACATAGGCAAAGTAATAATGTACATCTGTGTTGAAGTACATATTATGTTTATTCTATATTAGTGACAGTGAATGAACTAGATATTGGATTGATAAGGAGACATATTATCATATTCGAACTGTTAAAATTATGGTCATAACTGTGATCATCTTTCATAATTATTGATTTTTGTTATTATTGTATTTTTCAGAGTTCTGGTGTAGGAGAAGCAAGCGTATATCATGCTCTGGTTGTCATATTTTTGGAGTTTTTTGCTTGGGGCCTGCTGACAATGCCAATAATATCTGTATTGAATGAAACATTTCCGGATCACACGTTCCTGATGAATGGTTTAATAATGGGCATTAAAGGAATTCTATCTTTCCTTTCGGCTCCTCTCATCGGGGCCCTATCTGACGTGTGGGGACGAAAATTCTTTCTACTTATCACTGTGGCCTTTACTTGTGCACCAATTCCTTTAATGAGTATTAATACTTGGTGGTTTTTCGCCATGATCTCTATCAGTGGCGTTTTTGCGTGTACCTTCTCAGTTGTCTTCGCATATGTAGCTGACGTAACGGAAGAGAGTCAACGCTCGTTGGCATATGGTTTGGTATGCTTTCAAACATTCTGATACTTTAGAAAACCCGAAATATAAGCATTGTAAGAAATTATTGAGTTAAATGATATGAATAGACTTATCCGAGACTTGTTCCAATTTCATTATCAGGGATTTACATTAACAATATAATTTTTTTTTAAATGGATTAGTTTCTTTTCAATTACACAAAATTTATTGTCATTACTGAAATACTTTATACTTTCTACATATTTGGTTCAAATGTGTACTCTCAAAATTAGTAGCAAATTGTGAAATGCACTTGTTAGAGGGGAAAGGTGTGTGAGACAGCATAGTGGATAACAGCAACATTTATACCGACTCAAATACCTTTTCCCACTTGTAAAGTACATCTATAATGAAAGAATATATTTCGCGTTTATGCGGTATAATTTTCGAAAATATCGAGTTTCGGATTGGAAATGTGAATCATTTATTAAATTCAGTGAAGAGTGTAGTGCTTAAAAAGTAGCGTATTAAGATAATATAACGTATCGATTATCTATGACTCACAGCGCGTGGAAGTATCACTGATAAAATTACTTGTATGAGAGATTAGACTTTATGTTCCATCACTCGAATTACAATATTGAAAATATTATATTAAATAAATAAAAACCGTTTTATAGGTTTCAGCTACTTTTGCCGCAAGTATGGTGATAAGTCCAGCCCTAGGTGCTTACACTATGACGACATATGGTGAAAATCTTGCAGTAGCATTGGCTACGGCTATTGCAATCTTAGATGTTTTTTTCATTCTGGTTGCTGTACCAGAAAGTTTACCAGAAAAAGCTCGCCCGCCAGCCCCTATTTCTTGGGAGCAAGCTGATCCTTTTGCAGCATTAGGCAAGGTAATACTTTTATAAGTATTTTTACAGTTGAAAAATTAAAAGAATAGATCGAACATCATGTCGGAACCTAATGTAATGAGAATTTTTCGTTTGATAATTTAACTGAACAGTGCCTTTTAAAGTCTTTGTCACGCAACATTGCAATCAGTTAAGATAATATAATATAATGAAATAATTAACCCGTTTACATAGAACTTTTTTTAAAATAAAATTGGAAACTGCCCTTAAAACTATTTTTATTTAAAAAAGCACTATTGAAATAACTTCCAATGTGAAAGTGGTATATATCGATATGAAAGAGTTAAATAACTTGTAAATCATGTATTTTTAAAATATTCGTAGTCGAAATTTTCAAATTTATAAATTTACTGCAACATCTAATTTAAAGAAATTCTTGATACCAAACAATAAGGAAATACTTGACACTCGAATTACGTACTTGGTTTTTAAGAACAAAATGTGTGTAATTTGTCAGGAATTCTGTTATTTCACTGCAAATGGATCTTATGCAATGAAAAGCTTCATTTATCTTTTTATTTAATTACAGGTTGGCAAGGATCACACTATTCTGATGCTATGCGTCACTGTATTCTTAAGCTACTTACCAGAAGCTGGACAGTATAGCTGCATCTTTGTATATCTCAAACTAGCTATGGGATTCTCGGCACCTATGGTGGCAGTATTCATTGCTGTAGTAGGGATTTTAAGTGTTGGAGCGCAAATACTTCTCGGCCCTCTAATGAGGACATTGGGTAGTAAACATACAATTATGTTGGGACTCCTTTTTGAAATGCTACAACTCATGTGGTACGGCTTCGGCTCACAAACATGGTAACGTATTTTATTCAATCATAGTATAATTTTTATATGAAACTTATCAATGAAAATGAATACGAGTAAACCTGACCAGTTTGAAAGCATCTTGCTCACGATTTGTCGATCATACCACACGAACGTTTTATTTTTGCGACTGTACAGGGGGATTGTGAAATTTTATCATAAGAAATATTTCGTGAATCATAGAAAATATGAAAAAGTTGTAAAGGAAAACTTTTTAGAATTTTCAATACACTATAATCTAGTGTATTTAATTTAAAAACTTTTGTTTCAAATGCACCAACTGATATTTGTTCATTCGTTTGATTTCTGTCGGAAAATCGAATTCAGCTGATGCGTTTAATCTGATTAGCTTTCTATATTATTTAACTTGCTATTAAATTTGACAACGATATCATATCAAGGTTTTAATAATAACGACAAGCCATTGCAAAATTTTACTGCTATCAAAATGTTTTCATTGCCATAAGTAGCATAAATATTAAGGAGATTGGGACGGACTGTCGCCACTTTGCATTTTTACGCAATCATAGATATTTCTATTTCAGTGCATAACATGTGACTTTAAGTAGTATACATAATTATTTTCAAGGTGTGGAGTCACTTACAATTGACATTGTAAGGAATATTTGATAAGTGTGCGACTTTCTATATGCGACGCTATAGGTGGCGACAGGTTCCTGCGATTTGAACAGCTGGTCCACAATCGTCTTGAGGAAACAAGTGAACTGCCAAATCGACCAATCATGTTTTCGCTGTCATGTAGCCCTCAGGCTACTCCTAAATGCGGCTATGTGATTAGTTGACATAGCAGTTAACCTTTAGTTAAACTAAAACTAATACTGATGAGACAGAGACTAAGTGATCGTAGAAATTATAAGAATCTGCATGCATTGCATGTTAAAGAAGAATGCGAACAGAATTGTAGTACGAGGTGAATTTTCAAGACGATACGGTGACTCGTCAGATTTTTATGAAATGTCATCATTTTTTAATTCCCGACTTTCCGTTTGACTTAAGCGAATGGGAGTTATTTGTTTTGTTCTATTGCCATTTTTCTTTTACTCGTATTGGCTAGTTCTTCATCGGAGTCAAACGAGGGTTTAAATAGATTGAATGTATACCTACAGTAGGTATGCAAGAAACATCTTTCAAGTTTACTCCGGTATAAAGCATAACCACTAATAGCTTTATTTGAGGAATTGCGAGTACGCGCAAAGATTAGTTCATTATAATCTTTCATATAAAATATTTTTAATTGTAAGCAGTTATTAACTAAAAACTAAAAATTGAGACATGAGAAATATTTAATACAGTATGTGCAAAAAATTAAGTATTTAATAAATTAAGTAATTAGTGGCAGCACTCTCTAGTCTAACCAGCTCTTAGGTATATTTTAATCAAAAGATTTGCTCAATAATTATGATTCGGCCATTTTCGAACGATACAAAGGTGAAGTTTCAAAGTATTAGTATTACAGCAAAACAATTTATTACAGTTGAAATTCAATTATTAAAATACTCTCATACATGTGGCCTTTTAATATGGTGTACATTTTATGACTAATTGTGTAATCATTTTCAAATTTTTTAAAGGATGATGTGGGCTGCGGGAGTTCTCGCTTCTGTTTCGAGTATTACATATCCTGCGATATCTGCATTCGTCTCCATGCACTCGGACGCCGACAAGCAGGGTTTGGTGCAGGGTATGGTGACTGGGATGCGGGGACTTTGTAACGGCTTAGGACCGGCCATGTTCGGTGTTATTTTCTACCTCTTTCATGTAGATCTCAATGATGATTCACCTTCCCTTCCGTTAAAACCACCAATTTTTGACGAGCACAATCATACGGGAACTGCTACACAGCATCTCGCTATCATGCCTCAGGTTTGTATTTATATAAATACTTATTCTTACTTTTTAAAATGTATTATTTCACGTGTAATACCTTACGTTTTCGTTGGCCGGCCTTCAATCATGACCATATGAACTATGCAACCGTTGCCCGTTAGACAGACATTTATTTCACGAAGACGGAACTTTCGAGCCTAAAATGCTGGAAATTTACAAATATTGCTACTGCTGAGCTTTGAAAATATTACATCTTTAGCTGGAATTTGGTTTTTCATTTAAATCTTAACCTCTTTGGTTAAGTGATTCTTCTAGAGTTTTGAATACAAACATACGTCGTCAATACTTCGGATTTGCGCATAAGCTGTCTTGAAAGTGGAATAAAACATGTGCAAATGTTACTGTGTCATTAATATCTGCAGCTTATTTTGTCGTGAAAATTTCAGCTGAAACGGCAAAATGGTTTGTTTGGAGTTTTGGATACAGGCATTCTACAGTTCCGCGAACTTTTTCGCGACCGCCTGTGTATTTCGTATGCTCATGTTTTAAAAGTTGTAAATTATGAAATATCTTAAAACGATATTAATATTGTGTATGAAGGAGTGAGGAGAGGAAGGAGTGACGGAGTGATATCTGTTACATAATAATTATTGAATTTTGTCAATAACTGTCTAGAGCGTGTTCAAATAAATATTAAGATCATAATTTTATTTCTTTTAGTATGTGACATGCGAATTAGTTCTTATCAGGTTCAAAGATTCTTTAATAATTATTTGTAAAATTAATCATAACATTTCTTTTACAGCTAGTACCAGGTCCGCCGTTTGTTTTTGGTGCATTACTTGTAATTTGTGCACTACTCGTCGCTGCATTCATTCCTGAATCAAATCCAATGACGATGGGGCCAACGCACCATTCGTCAACTTCCCGGAGGCCCTCCGGTAAATACGCATACCAGAAATGTACGTTAAAAGTTACCACCATTCTGAAAATCGCATGGGGTCTTCCGGTGGTGGCTTTTACCTCAATCTTTTCATACAAAACTTCTAACAGTTGCTTAAAGTTTTAAACAATTGAAAATGAGACTTAATTGTCTCATTTTTATATTATACTCAGTAGCGAACTCCAATTTTTATATTTAAATTGATTTCAATTAAAATGGTTCACTTGCTTTGCTTTTAAGAATATGCACTTGGATGAATTTTGAAGTTAAGTGAGAAAGTTTTTATATGAACGTCCATGGTCTTTTAGGTCAGTCAAATACATTCTTTTTTGAGATCCACTACTTTTTATATATATGAAATTGATGTATTTGCTTAAAACTTTTGTTTCCTTAATTTCCTCATAGAGAATACACAATTAACGAAAATATAAATAAAATGTTGCTTTTAAACTTTTTGATCGAGTATCTTGAAATCTAAGACAGATACGACAAAAAATATGCATTAATTTGTATGAAACAATTTCTCCAGAATAAATTCAAATAACTGACTAAAAGCTTAAAAATCACACTACTTCATATTTTCGCTAAGAGTTTGTCCCTGAAAGGGAATTGAGGAAACATATTTTTTTTCGAAAAAGACCACTAAAGCCAATCTTCACCACTTTTATCAACATAAAAATTAATGGAGCACCAAGGTAAAAAAGAGTTAAATTTCCCTAGCCTATATGCCAAGTAAGGCAGAAAGATTTAATTTCGAGTCCAATATTCTTTAATTTAAAAACTATATACACTTGAAGGGGAACCAACTTCGATTTTTTATTTGTGCGTAAATTACACGTACAAGGACTTAAAGCAAAGAATCTCCCTACTATAAAATATTTTAGTAGGAAGCACTGTCACTCAACTGGTTGAATTCATTTCAAGCCGTCTTATAAAATTTCAGTCCCTGCATCTTATGATTGTTCAATTACTCTTTAGGATATATATGAAATTACTAAATATAGCCATTGACAGGCAGGTCATAGTAAAATGACTGCGGCCAAAGTCTTTCCACGGGCACTTTACCATGAAATTGATTTAGATAATCTATAAAAAGTGTGACACAGAAACCAAGAAATATATACGAGAAATATCTCTGTATCATTCCAAACTATGAACGCGAAATCAATTTGAAGATTTTAGGGTACTACGAAATCTAGCTGTTAAACAAGAAATTATCCTCGTCTGAAACTTTAACGTTTTGCCATAACGAGTGCTGATAGTAATCTGTGACGTCACGACCAGTGCCATCGTGCGCGGGCAGTGGTCAATAATGCTTATTCTTTACAGACCATATTTAGTTAACCCTTTCGTTACCAGTGGGACATACATATCCCAGTAACTTTGAAAGTTCATAACTTCTACTTAAAATTGATCGATCAATACGGACTTGAGCTCATTTTGAAGATCAAAACCTGCTGTATCTGCAAAAATTTGGCATCATCCGTGACAAGTTGTCAAAAAACCTAAAATCGAGTAAACACAAAAATATAATAACTTCTGCCAGCATGCTTTCTGAATTTCATTCTTTTCTAATAGTTGCCTTCACTTACTAACGAGAGTTTGCGAAAAAATTTGGTTATGCGAAACCACTCCATAACCGTAAAAATCAACTCCTACTAATTATAGAGAATACCCCACGTCAGATTCGCATTGTTTGAAATGTTCACTCGCTATGCAGCGACTCCAACATGCGAGCGGAACGTTCATAAACAGTTATCAAGCTGTTGGCGCATGGGAAAACTATTTTGAGTTCAGATTTGTAATCAGCAACCTCAAAAACGTCCGAGTACCGAGTTTCATCCAAAATCAACTCACTTATCGCATTTCGATTCGCTGTATTGGATCCGCCATTTTCAATTTAATAATTTTGAGTTCAACTTCGTTATTAACGACCGCGAAATCCCCCAAGTACCAAATTTCAAGTAAACCGCAGGTAAGGAACAATAGAGTTAATAATGAGAGTTAAATTCACGCTCTAAGGGTAGTTTTCGAAACGGAAAAAATCAGAAATTTTGTTTGATCTAACCCTTAATAGTTAGTTAACAAGAATTATTTTCTTTTTATGGCATTACTAGAGAAAAAATTCAGCCATTAAAGAGTTAGGCTTCGCTTATACTTAATAGTTCCATGTTTGTGTATCATTGCTCTAGCTGATTCGCTCCCTTGCTCACGATGTTGAGTCTTCAACGTTTGGCGCAGATTCGAAGCTCCAAGGCGAATAGTGTCAATGAAATTGTTTCGCCCCTGTATAATATGTCATTGGAGACACTATTGAGGTACGAGGTTTCACGGCCTGATGCGTGCAAAAGAATCGTGAACTATAGTCGGTCCACGAGTTCAACTTTTATTTTGGACAGTCGCAAGCAATGCAACACTTAGTAAAAATCGCATTTGCTAGAAGACTTCATTGTTTTCGATCCATCATAAAAACATCGAACACATGGGCCGACTATAAATTTAGAATTGGATGACGTTTTATTGGAGAAAACTAACAAATTTGAGACACGCACGAGCTTTAAAACTAATATCGAATTATATTTATATTTTATGTTTATTTTATATATTATTCTAATTTTCCAAAATAATTTCAGTAACGTTGCGTGCGTATTGGATAGATCAATTTGTATTTAGGGGATAATAATTTAAAGATAAGAAAAGTATTGAAGATATGTGATATCTGTAATTAAGATATCATTAATGGATGGTTAATTGCAGGTTTATCACTAGATGTCCAGTACGAAGTGGATCGAGTAACTAGTGGACGAAGCAAAATAGGACCATTATCTCCCCTCGTCGACAATTGCAATTCTGCTGCGCTATAGCCATATCTGTACTTCAAACAGACAACCTCGTATCCAGCAGAAATCACAGCGCGCCATTCCACCGGAAAGAAACATACTGTGCCCTTCATCAACAACGTAAGCCTCTATGTATTGGGCCAAACACATCAACTCTGAATGAACTATGTTATAGCTGTTCATACTGTATCATACCGTCTACTCTATCGGATAATTGACTTTGTTTTTAGGACGTACCAAATGAATATGAATAACATTAAGGAGGTTTGCTATGGAAGTGAAACTGGTTAAAACTTAATAATCGCGCGAGGTACTTTTGTATGTGATGTACCCAGTTATCAAATTTCGCGTCATTTATCTATACCATTTTTTTAAGAAGTGAAGATGTAAGACGGCTTCTTACATATGAGATCTTACGGTAGATACAACAAGAAAAGTGATTTTGACGTTGAAGTGAATAAGAAAAAGGTTTTGCACATCAATAAATAACTATCTAGATGGTATTTATGTATTCGAAATATCTCATGCGAAGAAAATGAATTTTCTTTGCATTATGTATTTATAGTAACCAAAGAATGCTAGAGGAAGGAAGCCTTGGGGGAGGTTAATTCGTTCGTGAAACTCCGCTGACAGTTGCTCTGATCCCAGCAGATGCAAACCTCCTTAAATTCCAAGAATCGCCATTTTCTCGAAATGATTCGGTGATATACGGAATCTTTTTCTTTTAATCGGGATCCACATCACGTACATTCTAATGTTAATTATGAAGACCTGTTGTTGAATGTTATAAGAGGGTGAGATGTTCCAAGGTGATTAGCCATTGCTTTGATATTGTTATTTTGATAAATTCGCCAAATGCACAAGATAAAATTGTTGAAAGTCACAGCCGAAATCATCAGTATTGCACTAGATTCCTATCTCGCCAATTTTTTTTTGAAGTCTAGTGTTTTCTGACGAACTTTTTTTTTTTTCATTTTGCATGTCTAACATTTTTCATTTTAGACGCAGCGTTAAGTCCGGATCAGGTGTCATTTTTTTACATGTATAATTTTTGTAAAAGAATTGAGCATCGTTAAAACTTACAAGAATTAGTGTTGATACTGAAAATATAGTTTCAGCCTTTGCCTTCTGTGTGAATAAATTTAAACTACGGACAATTCACATGTATTTTGTAGATGTTGACACATTCCTAATTCTGACAAGCGTTAAAATTTCCTATCGTAAGATAGGAAAAGGGAGAGAGATTATTTGAGCATAGTCATCATGATGGATTCTTTAAAATCGCATTTTAGCTAAAAAGAAAACGGTATCTTATGAAGTGATATAAGTAAAAATAATACAGAAAAACTTAACTTTCGGCTTTTGAACGTACCGTTACTTCTACTTCAGAAGCAAAGAAAAAGATTCTTTTCATGGTGTACGTTATATCTGTTTCTACCGTCAAACAATGTTTATTATAAAACTGATGTCAAAGCATTTACATGTTTCGACGATAATAACAATGACGAATGTTGATACATGAAATGGCGTCGTTACTTTTTAACTTCACAGTTTTGTCGAACTAGTCGTACGGATTAAAAAGCACAAGGAAATCAGATGCTTCGTTTGTTAGGTTCTTAAATTATTGGACACGTACGATGAATCTGCCAAAGCTGCAAAGGTGCCGTTAGCAAAAACATTCTGTATTACGTTCAGACACCCTTTATATTTTCTTAGGTAACGTAATAACACCTGTCAAGTCTCGTTTGATTGCTGAACCTATTGACAATTAGTTTCTCTCGTACAATAAATGGGCAAAAGGTTAATAAAAGGCTTCTACTGAAAGTATGCACGAGGTTGGATTTACCGTACTCTCGATACTGGTTAAAGCTTGAAGTAGAAGAATCTTTGATATTCTGCTTGACATGATTTATCGCGCTATTAACATTTATACGATAATGCATAATAAAATTAACATTGTCGATTTTTCGATTGTACATGTAGAAGTCAAGAAGGGAGGTATGTGAACTCCGTCAAAGCCAAAGATCGAAGTTATGGAAAATTAAGTTGTATTGGATGTAGGTGAGCAAACGTAATTAATTCCAGCAAGTACGATTCGAGTCACACATCAATGATGAAGGTAAACTTTAAACGATTGCTATTTTTCTCCAAGAATTTTTTTGTTGTCGGACGATGTTGTGAATCATCAAAGTACATAACCGTAACTTTTGAGAAAGTATTGTTCAATATCTGAGGCGATAGGTAGGCATTCTTTAATAGTATAATAGTAAACAAAGCTGGTTTAGGTAGACAAATCTTTTGATTTCCCTATGTGCTGAAAACGTTCCTTGCGCTTTATATTTTAATTTAAGATTGTTCATAGATGTAACAATTTTCGGATGCAATTTTGTGGAGCGTTACAATTCATTAATTATTAGGTTGCATAAAGTCTAAAGACCGTGCAATATAAGCAACATATGAATAGTGTGAAAGAAATTTGGTATGAAACTTTAGGTATATCGTTCCATAGAGTGTCTGCAGTGTCGTTGACAAATGCAAAAGCATGTACAGTGTCACTGATTGTATAATTCAATTGTGTTATTACTTAGTAAATAATTAGTAATTTATGTTTGTATGCAGTCGAAGACACGTACACAATTGTATTATAAATGTAATATTATATATAAAGAAATGGATATGAAATTCGATATAAGACGTAGACTAAGGCTGCTCGAAGTTGAGCCAAGCAACTGTATATGCAAAATGTACGATGATGGATTCGTCAATAAAAATTATTTTTAAGATAAAGTAAATTGTGATTTAACTATTTCTTTAATAGAAAGGTATTGTGTCCACGAAAATTTTGGAATTAATTTTATTTAAGAAATATATCATACTATACATACAATATATTATTACACAAAAAAATATAACGCGTCATTCGTTACGATTGATTAACTTGAGCTACAGCTTGTATACTTTGAGGCATTGATACCAGCGTAGAACCACTCTGCTGCCATAATTCTATTGCCTTATTAACGATTACTTCCGAAGTTTCTTCAGATATCTAAAATAAAATTGTGACAGTCTTACGACAGAATAATGAAATACAATGAGAACAATTAAGTGCCAATAAATATGTGTATGTACATTATTGATAGCATCCAGAATATTATCCAGATGCTCGCATCGTAGGAGAACCCGTTTTAAAGTAATTAATGTGACAACAGCCACAAATACTAAAATCTTATAGGCACCAACTACTATTTTATCCCATATTCTGTAATGAAAGTATTATTATAATCTAGTAGAAATATAATGAAAATGACTGCAATCTATTTATATGACTATAATATAAATACTTTGGAATAGAGCCATTGCTTATGGTTCCTGCAAAGCATGAATAGAACCAAATATGAAAAGGAAGATTGAAAAGAGCTTCGATCTTAGTGAGATGTTTGTATAAATCAGGATCCTCTCGTTCCAAAATATTGTAGGTGCATTCTTGCAGCCGAACAACTTCCTTGTAGAACTTTTGTACTTGATCCAAAAAGCCACGTAGAAGCCAATATGTATCCACTAGCTTGTCTTCATGATCAGTATCAACAACATGACACAAACTCTCAGCTAGTTTACTTGTTGCCCTAATAAGAAAACAGCACTATATAAAATATAATTCAAACTCTAAGTGATCAGGATAGTTAATATCAATATCGTTGAGCACATTTTTTGATACTGTTTTGTTGTATTTGTATTTAAAAGAGAACAATCTGCACTTAACAAATATAGAATTAAAAATTTGTGACTCAACCGCAGTAATGGAGCATCCAACTGAGCATTTAAATCAATCTTAACTCTTCTAGTTCGTAGAAGCCACATTGTAAGAAACACTTCATGAGGTTTAGTGTTTTCATTCACAATCTTTGCAATTTGCAGTGCTTTTTGTAGATCTTCAAACTCTGCTTTACGTTGTATCATTATAAAGTCATGACTTTCAGCAAAAGTAGGTACAACCCCAAGTAAGATTTTCCACAAAAAATTTCTATACAAAGTTGGTACTGTAAAGCGTAAACAAAATTGCTTTAACTTTGCTTTATCAAAGGGACGGTCTTTGAGCAAAATTTCCAACGACTTCCTCTCCTCTACACTGCGAAACCCAACCTATGATATAAATATTCTTTAATTAGAAACACAGTTCTCATGCAGGTATATTACATAAATTAATCATACAAAAACTGGAACTGAGACTTGAAATTAAATAATAGGTAATATAATAGACAATTAACAATTAACCAATTTTCAAGTTTAGAAAATCATTTGTATAACAATCACGGCAATTAAATTTCATTATAATTTTTTTCAGAACTTATATATTTCGCATCTAATTCTTAACTGAGACAAAATTATTTTACAGAAACTATCAATGTACCTTCTCATAATACGACGACCGAAAATTTCGTTCATCCGCCATTTATTTAAAAATGCAATAACACAATTCTAGGCATGAACTTATAAATAAGAACGACTGATTTCGACTACTCTCTCGACAGAGATGACTAGGGAGATGCACAACGCTACGACTGAGATGAGCAGGGAGATGCACAACGGTACGGTTTTAGGCGACACCAAAATCATACCGCAAAATCGTAGCGGCGAGTCTGGAAGTAGGATTTTGTGATCATCGCCACCGTCGACAATGTGAATCCCGTCGTAGCCGAGCTAAATGTAAACACGAAGATATAGCTTGACGGGCAGAGGTTCTCCGCTACTCGCCGCTGGTTTCCAAAGCAACACTTTCAAAAAGACCGGGAACTATAGAACTCCTTAAAAAATATTGAAAAAGCCTATTGTTGAAACATTTTTAAGACATTTTTAAGAAAGTGCCAAATTGACACCCGCTCAGCACCTCAATTTTTAATTAATATTATTGGATCTTGATTTACTTTCAAAATTTATTCAAACTATAAAA